AAATAAAATATTATAAAAATTTCATTCCTAAAACGTAATATAATACTGTTAATGTAGTTATTCTGTTTTTAGACGTTTATTTTGTATTATTGTAGCATAATTTGATACTCATTTAATAAAAAAAAATATGAACAAAGTTAATTCGTTTTTAATTTAAATCAAGCTAACAAAAAGAATTTTAAGGTCCATATTATAGGTACATTGTCTTAAAAACATTTTACGTAAATAAATTGAACCGTTAATCAAATAAGTTTTTCTGAAAATGTTTTCTGCTGTTTCAAGTCAGAAGTTAAATTGGCGAATGTACAAAATTTTGTAAATTATCACAGTATGTAACAAAAATGCGTTCTCGAGTGATATCAGCCCATAATTACTTGCTAATTGATAATCTTTTGAACTTCGTAAGTGTATTTTGACAACGAAATAACTAAACCATAAAATTAAAAATAGAGATGGATTCTGATTGTAGCAGATGTTAAATATTTGTCTCTTTAACGTTAAAAAGTCAAACATTTTATTATTATTAGAAATAATGTTATTTTAACCAGACAGCTCCTGATTTTATACTTAAATTGTAGCAGTGGAAACTGAGATAATAAAATTAAGGATAATTCAGGGTAGTTGTAGGTGCCCAGGTGCAAAACACTGTCACCTCTCTCATTACTTTCGCGGTAATTTATATAAAGAGAATAATTTACATAATGTATAATATTGCAAATGCCTAAAAGTCAACTTCATATTGTTTTTACTAAATAATTTACAGCAAAAACAATAAACACTTTTCAACATTTTAAGGATTTCCCTGGACTTTTTCATTTTCCAAACTTATGTGGATTTTTAAATACCTATTATAGACCTAGAAGAATTCCAATTTTCTGATGTGTGTTTCACCCTGTGTACAGAAAATATAGGTACAATTAATAACGAATTTAATTATTGTTTTCAAAATCGAATACCGGATCATAATTATTTAAAGAAAGGTGTCGTCTTGCGCCTCACCCCCGTCTTCAGAGCGACCTTTTGTACCTTCTGATTGAAGCGACCCTAGCAATTCTCACTGAAATTACCTACATTAAATGTATAAGATGCGCTTTGTTTTCATTCGATTCCACCTTTGACCTTAACAAATTAAATCATGTTTTCAACCAAGTAATAAGGACTGTTTGTATTTACTTATTGGTACAAATTATTTGTATTGTACAAAAACATTTCCAATTCCAATAGTAGTAAACAACTTCAGTTCCATTCGCAGACAAACATGCGTCGATATGTAGTTTATTTTACTGTTTGTGTGATTCCAAAAGATTCCAAAGGAATACTCTCTATCTTCAGCCTTCTTTTTAGGAATTGTGAATAAAGATGGGTAGTGGTCAGGGCCATATTATAGCAAATCATCTAGAGGCTCTTGGCAATACAAGTCTTGGAACCCCTTTTAGCTTACGTAAAAGGAATACTGAATACAAAAATTATGTTTTCAAAACATCAATTTTCCTAGGCTTTTTTGATATGAATTCTTTCAATATACCTTGGAAACCGATACCACCCTCAATGACGATTATGCAATAACGCATTTAAACGTTATTTAAACTGTCTTCAATGATCCCTTCATTGATGATGATCAATACTGAAAAGCTTTGACGGCCTGGTGAATGTATTGATTTCTTGAAAAATACTAATACTGCTATATCATCTGCAAATCTAAGCATACTAATATTTTGCCCCTGTATATCTATCCCTACAGTTGTACTGTCTTTAATGACGTTGATGTATAGATTAAAAAGTATCGGTGACAGTGTGCATCCCTGTTTGACTCCCTTCCTAATATTTACTTCTCTACGTTACAGCCCCAGCTCTATAACTGCCTGTAACTCATCCCTACATTTTTACGTATATTTAACGTCTTGTCCCACTTAATATTGTCAACAGCCTTTTCTACATCTGCAATATTATGTATGTTCATAGATTTTTATAAAAATTGCATTTAAATAGGCAATTTTCAACAGTCAATTTCTTTCAAATAATCGATTTCTTAAGTAAATTTAATGTACCCCTCTTCGGAATCGCATTACTCTAAACGTTGCCGCCCTATTTGGTGTTGCAACATTCCACCAATGGATTTAATTATGGGTAAAAGACTAAGGATATGAGTGAACTTCTTACTTACTCAGTAAAACGCTTTTGTTGAACATTTTTAGCTACGTTGTCAGAGTCATTTCGTCCTCCAATCCAAAGGAATTTATTAACGCAAATCGTGTTATTCAGATTAAATATTTTACAAATCTATTAGATTAATTCTAGTTTAAATGTTAATAAATAAAACTCTAAAATATGTTACAAAATAACGTGACGCATTTGACTACATATACATACTGAAAGACAGAACAATTTTTGTATCTTCTGCAGTTTATCTCAATAATATGTGTAATAATTCATAAGATAACGCTCTTCATGTTTGTAAAAATAGCAAATTTCAATTTAAGAAAAGTACATAATGATATACATACATATGTATATTGAACTATTTTTCCTAAAAGAAAACTATGTTATTGATTTTGCAAGGTTACTTATTTAATTACTTAATGACCTAATAAATTATTGTATTTACATTTAATCAAACATTGAACGCAAATAAAAGGAGATTGAATTAGGTGATACTCAAAAATAGTTAAATTTTATAATACATGATTCAGTTCTTTTTGATGAAGTCATTGCTCATTCCAATTTCTATTCTTCATTTAAAATTGACTTATCAATGGAAATTATATACTGGTTATGCTTTATGCGACACCATAAAAATGTATTTACATACTCAGTGGTGAAACGTGGGAGGGTGCAGAGGGGTTATGACACAAATGAGGGGACAAAAAAAAATGTTTTCTTCAGTATAAGGTAGCACACGGTTCGCAGCACAGTGCCATTAAATGTCCCAATTTTGTACCAGTTCTTAATAATTTCTACCAAGTAGAAAGACATTACCGTCTTGGTTTAAGATTTAATCAGACTATCTTCACCTGAAGAAGCCAATGTTATGGGGGTAGAAAAAAATTTCTTCTTCGGTATAATATAGAACGAGGTTCGCAGCAAAGTGCCATTAAATGTCTCAATTTCTTAATATTTGAACCAGTTCTTAATAATTTCTACCAAGTAGAAAGACATTACCGTTTTGGTTTAAGATTTAATCAGACTATCTTCACCTGAAGAAGCCAATGTTATGGGGACAGAAAAAAATGTCTTCTTCGGTATAAGATAGAATGAGGTTAGCAACACAGTGGCATTAAATATCCCAACTTCCTGGTTTTTGAACCAGTTCCTAATAATTTCTACCAAATAGAAAGATATTACCGTTTTGGTCTGTGATTTAATCAGAATATCTTCACCTGAAGAAGCCAATGTTATGGTGAAACAATTGTTGTGAACAATTAATATATATTAATATATAAAACTTTACTTTCGTCTCCTTTAATTGTTCTTCTACTTTTTCTCCTTCCCATTTCTAACCCTTTCTATGAACTATTTTCTTTTTTACCGTCTATGTTTCGCACTTTTTCGACTATTCTTTCTAGTCGACACAACTATTTCCTGTTTAAGCGAGAAATACGGAAATAATGCTGCAATTTATAGACATTGACTGATAAGGATTCAAACAAATAGTAGGTAAACAAGGAGGGGATTAATAAAATACCTAGATATATAATAGTTTATGGATATCTGCGTTAATTAACTACCACTTACTTATTACTTCTTTACCATTTGAACAAGAGGACCACAATATTAAGCTCATCTACGGTTATTTATCAAAAAATTCACCCAAAAAAATTGAGCAGATCTGAATAAAAATTTAATCATTAATATCGTACTTTCATTTGTTTAATTATTTTTTATCCGAATATTTCTTAATTTCTTTCCCAGACTTTGAACAAAATAAATTGATTCAACAAAAGTAAAATTGATAAAGTTGCGTTTTTAAGCAAAACAAAAATTTATTTATAGATTCGCTTACACGATAGCCGGACAACAAATTTATTTCAATAATTAAATTTCGCGGTCACTTGTATTATAGATGGCTTTGTACGTATTTATTATTCGATAACCCAAGACGCTTCTTTTGCCATGAAGTTGTCAAAGATACCAAACGCTGTGATCGTGCATAATGGAGGTGATTCGGATACTGCTCTCGTGGTTGTTTTTAATCCATTTCATGTGAGTAAATCTTTGTTTTTGTTTTATTTTCCATTTAATGCGTTCGTGAATTCGCGTTGGCAAATTCGAGGTTTATCAGACAAAATAAATTAATTCCTGTTGTTGTAAGAACGACGACATATTATTTATTATTATACACACTGTTAACACAATGTTATCTAACGTTGCTCGTTTAAATTCTTTGTATATTCTCGAATATTAAACATGAAACTTAACAAATAATAATCCCATATTATATAATACGTATATTATTTTGTTTACCTATGCATATAAAATGGCAAAACAATTTGACTTTTGATTAATACTTTAATCCTTATAAGAGCCATGTTTTTTCGTTGTGAAATTAAAAACTAGGCGAATATTTTATTTATAATAGCTACTTATCTTTAACGGTTAAAGGGTTTAGATTATCGTAGCTACTAAAGATAAATTATTGAGAATTAATTTTTTTGTAAGGTAACAAAAAAATAAGTTTTAATCGCTTAATCTTCCCCCAAAAGGAGCTTTTTATATGTATACTTAATTGTGTGCAAAGATACCGAAGTCTTTTTTATTATCGATGTTGGATTTCACTATAACATGTGGTAGTTCATAATAATAAGTATGATAAGGAAGTAACTGGCAATAATAAATAGGGATTCAGCCTCAATTTGAACAAGAAATAGTTACACCCTGCTGTCTTTATTCAACCCTTACAACAGTATTCCGTTTTCTATTACCTACTAATTTTTTATCGATATGAACCCCTAAGTAGTTTTCATAAAAGGGCGCGACTTCAATTTTTAACACAAAAAAGTCCCCCTGTTTCTAAAATGTTTATTCTCTATTCGTTTATTGTCTTTGACTCATATTAAACGTTGTAATTTGATCTTGTTCTCATAGACTTTGTTCTATTGTTGCTATTGTCTTTTGGATTTTGATAAGACACATTTTAGGTCGGAGATAACCAGAAAATATCCCAAACTTTCTCTTCTATTTAAAAAGGATTCTCGTCGGATGAGTTTCGAAAAACATGTTCTTTTTTAAAAATTAAGCCCGAAAAATCGCTAAAGTAAGGGTACCTAGTGGAAACTAAATGGTCGCCGTAGGGAAAACTGTTTCTTGCCCAGAAAACCAGGGCAGATCTCAAATAGATACACCTTGCCAAAATTTATAATATTTCGACTTAAGAAAGCTCAGAAAATGTTAATTATATATCAATAAATAACAACTAAATTGTATAACATCTACAAATTAAAACTTCATTAAGGGATTGTCAATATTTGAACTCTTGATGTTTATAAAAAGTTACTGTTTTATTTAAATGCCTAGGCAACTAGACAGCCAATTCAAAATGATAATTTTTAACAAATTCAAGTTAAAATAATTCGATTTTGCAAAAACGATTGAATCGATTGCACCATCTTCAGCAGACTTTTTTAGTGTCTACATCAACATTCACAATTTTATCAGGTTGTGCACAATTTTGCTAAACATTTCAAATGTTATAAATAATTATGAAAAATACACATTTCGGATGTTTTTTTCAATAAGATTTGTTTATGGAACGATTTCAACATATACACAAACCGTTTGTATTATCATCATTTTCTAACTCCTGATGCAGTTTATTCATTACAAAACCAAATCGAAGTTTGATGTAATCAAAAGTGGTGGGTCCAATATAAAGGTTGACTATTTTTCATACCTTTGGTTATAAACAACCAAATTAAAGAAATTTTAATTTTAATTCATCATCATCATAAGATCGTCAGTCCTAAGATTGGTTGGACACGTACCTCCACTCTTTCCTATCCTGAGCTAATCTTCGCATTAATTATACGTATATCTAAAAGTAGTAGATAAAAGTGATAGTAATAATAGAATGAATATCACTTTTTGATTTTTTACTTCACAACAGTTTCCTTTCTCTTTCGCATTTTCCCACGCACTCATTCGTCTTAGAATATAGCTAAGGTACTCTCCGAAGCTTAAACGTCCGATACGTACATTACAGATGCCGGAAATGAATTTAATAAGTTTGCAATCTTGTTATTAGTAGAAAATTGTACTAGATACCCGCGGATGCTTGCCCAACTTATAGTAAATTGCGGAAAAGGTCCTGAGATACGTCGATCGTCCATATATAACGGCGGACTTCGCGACAGGAAGCAAGCGAATTAACCTCAATAAGTCGGTAATTAGGCCTGATACGAGGGGAGTGAGCATTAGGTACGAGCGTGCGATGGGTGATATTCATAATAATTATTAATCATGTCATAATTGCCATAATTTTGTTAAAGTTAGCAGGAAAATCTTACTGTAGTTAATTAGATGTCTACAGAAAATCGTTTATGACGTTATCTGGTCAATTTTTTAAACGTTAAGCCAAAAACAAGTTTGCATTCCATTAGAAAGTGATCCTAGGCAGATTTTATTTAACTGGATTCTGGTAAATAAATTTCGACTTTAAGGAAAACTAGGGGCCTATTTAACTATAGTTCGGATGTTCAAAATTGGCATAGTCTGCAATAAAACTGTTGCATTCACTTTCTTCTTTCAACTTATTAAATAGAACACAGCAGTTGTTGACAGAACGTCTACTTTTACTCACGTCTGACGTTGCAGGGAATATCGTAAACACAGAAGAGAGATGTCAGGTAGGAATTGCAGCGGACGCTAATAAAGAAAAAGAAATAACATTGCACCATTTAATGTGTAACAGAAAGAGATGCAGGTATGAGAAAGTTAAACATTCTTAGGAGTTTAGGAAAGCAGAGACGCTTATTTCAAGACATACTGGCAGTTATAAAGCCAACCCTGATCTTATGCGTACTTAAACAACCTCTAACCACTTACTAGCATTTTCTAACTTAACAAGGGCATATTCAAAACACAGGAAATGACTACAGTCCCAAGTGAAAACAAGAAAGAAGATACATCCATCCTTACAGATAATTTATTGCAGACATTGCAAATTTTGATCGTCTCAACAATTGCAGTGTGAGATTCAGGCTCCAAAGGCAGTTAACTGAACTGTTTTGTTAAACCGCTAAATCAATATCAAAATTTTTTATAATGTAAAGTAATAGCAGTTTGCTTATACATGAAGTTGTTTCCAAAGCTGCTGGACTTAACTTCTGGTTAAGTTTTTGTTCCTGCTTCTAGTCTTCTTGTAATTCCTTCTATAATATATATAACAACAATTGCTACGAAACAATCAATTTAGGACACCTCTTGTTCAAAAATTTTTACGAAAAAAAAAATATGTTTTAGAAACAACAGAAGTATCTATATTTTATTACCCAAGTGTTTCTTCAATGCAACATCTCATTCTGACGACTGTGTTAATTCCCGAAGGTATGGTAGTTGAGAATTCATTTAAACAATAAAATTTTTATGGGTTTCACGATGTTCTAACTATCTAAGTATAAGAGTCAGTCAGTTTCCACTTATCAAATACATAAATCATTAATGTTTTTCGATCTTGTAGCAGATGCTGATATGTGAGGCAAAAGTTTTACCCTTTTGTAGATGATAGCACATCAGATACTGATCAGATAGTTTCAGTTATATCTTTCAGTACAAGTTACTTAGTGTATTAATAAAAAAAAGTGGCTTTCCTTTTATATAAAGTGTTTTTTGTGCTTTCTACAGCTATCTTGGCGTAGTGAGCTTTCTCATCTCTCCAATATAGTATATATTTAGATAACTGGCAATGATATAAGGACTGTAGAAAATATAAGTTAGCAAACTGGTTACGGGGGAGATGGGAGGCAGGAGTACTTCTTAGTGTGATGCTACAAAAGGAGGGGAGGCTTTAGCATTACCAGTTTATCAATTTTAGTTTAGTTTGATAACGTAATATTTGTTAGGAGGTTGTAGCAAGCGTGACGTAAAAGGCGGGACAGGACCAAAAAAGAGAAATTTGGCTTATTTAATAAATAGCCCCTAATTCATTCCAAATTCATGGACTCATTTTTAGTCAGTCTTAAATGCTGGGGCGTAGTTGGGTCTTTTTTCGCATGTCTGTAGTCAAATGGGACCGTCAAGTACAACTTCGGCTTGGAATAGACGGTAGAGTATATATTGAGGTAGATATATACTATAGAAGACGCCTAGTTTTAAAATTTGCAAAATTATCAAAGTATTTTCGTGTACAGGTATTTACCCGATTTTAGTTATTTGTACTTTCTCAATTTCGACCCAGACATTTTGAACCTCCGCTTTGTTCTATGGGGTTATCTCAAAATTATAAAGCGTTCTCCAGTTTTCTTAGATAGTGGAGTAAAATAAAATAATTTTGTAAATGTTTAGTCTCAATTTTTAAACAGTGTAGTACGAATTCATACGATAGAAATATCCTGTAATTGTATAAGTTATATCCAAATCAAGAACCTTTATTATTTCGGTCTATTGTAGACTGATGAACCGAAAATGGAAATAAGGTTTTTTAGAAATAGTCTTTTAGAATAATATACTGAAATTCACTCTCCTGTAGAGATGTTCAAAGTCGTTATCGACTCGCTCACCTCCTTCAACCCCTTCCAGTTTCGAAATTACTAATATAAAATATTTGAAAGATTCCTCCTCAAAAACGCCTACGTATGATCTAATAAATATCTTCAATTAAAATTTTTTTCGTATATATACCTATTGTATTACTTTTGGAGTAACTACATCGAAATTCGACATAATCTGAATTATTGATTAAAGAAATTAAGTTGGCACCAAATCGTCTTAGTGCATACTTCCTTTGAATACCCTAAAAAGAACACAATTTCTAAACCATACAATAAAAACTATTATAACTGTATTTGTACATCGAGTTTCAATAATAATAGTAATAATAATAATAATAATAAGTTGTGTTCAAGACCAAACAATGGCATCGATATCGTCAAAATAGCTCATCGTTTGTCTAGTTCACAGCAGGCGCGCATGGACATTCTGGGTCACCGTTTGCAACGTGATAAAACATAACAACTCCACGACATACATTAATACATGAACATCACCACTGAATTCTACAACCGAACTGATGTTTATTACATGCTCACTTACATTTCACCTACGTATGCATCGAATTAAGAAAACGCTGACATGGCATTAATAAATGGTCTACACACATTGCGAACCATGTACTTCAGTAACTCGACACGTTTCAAACCGAATCGCAATAAACTTTAAATTGATGTAGAAGCTAAGTGGATAAGAAAAGGTAGCTACCTGATTACATAAACTGATAACATTACGTTGGATACACTGTAAGAAAGCAAAAGTAACGATTACTAAACTTACAGCATCAGTTCTTTTGACAAGTGTTGTGACAGGCAAAATTTGTCTTGGTCTTGGTACTGGTCTTGCAAAAATAGCTTGCGGATCTAAAGACCGTCGTCGTTTGGCGTTGTTTTCTAACGTTTCGTCGTGGATATCCAGCATTGGAGATGGAAGGACCTCTGAAGAAGCTCGCCACTTGTGCTAGCGAAACGGTAGGAAGTAATTCCAACCAACAACGATCTTTAGATGCGAATCAGTTTACCAACTGGCCACGAATTTATAAATTAACCTTTCGCGAGCACAGAAGTGGCTTCTTTTTATTAAAAACGACTCGACCCTGCGCTATCCTCTGTTTTATATCCCTACTACTCCTTCCGTCCTGACTTATCTGACTTCCTAGATACCTAAAATCGGCCACGTCTTCTAATTTTTCGTCTCCTATCTTTATATTCGCTCTTTCCCTACTTTTTCCTCCCTTGCTTTACAGTNTCTGTTTTATATCCCTACTACTCCTTCCGTCCTGACTTATCTGACTTCCTAGATACCTAAAATCGGCCACGTCTTCTAATTTTTCGTCTCCTATCTTTATATTCGCTCTTTCCCTACTTTTTCCTCCCTTGCTTACCAGTATTTTTGTTTTACTTTTATTTATTTTCATACAATACTGTTTTGTCAATACCGCATCCACCAAATGTAGTACTCCTTAAAAATTGGATCTAATCCTCAATTTCACCAGGATAAGGAGAGATATCCAGTTACTTTTCAAACTTGAAATTGAGCTTCCATAAACGTCAGGAATTATGGTAAAGGCTTTCGCTATCAGTAGGTGAACTGATGCTGGTCTGAATCAGATCTAAAGGTCCCCGGTTGGCTAGAGTTGTTTCCTATCGATCACATCCAGCGTCGGAGACAGAAGGACCTCTGGAGAAGTCACCACTTGTGCTAGCGAAACGTTAGGAAGTAACTCCAACCGATGACAGTCTCTAAATCAGAATCAGGACAGCATCAGTTCACCAACTGAAAGCCTTTCGGTTGGTAGGGTACCTTCTGAGATATGAAAGACTAGACAGAGATATATTAGGAGTAGAAATAGAACAGATGCATAGGTAGACCTACATTAGATTATAATACTGCCGTAGTTTTTAACAAATGCGAAGACTAACTAAATATATTACGAAGTGGAGGTTTATATCTCAGCAGTCTTTGGACTGGAGACCTTATGATGATGATGATGACTATGAGGTCTGTTCACCGCGAATTTTGCAGTTCCAAGGGTTACGTATATTCGACTCACTTATATCGAAAATTTCGGCCATGTTAAATGTTCAGTTAATTTTTGACAGCTGTTTTGCTTACACGTGTATTGTCTCGTCTTGCCCATTACAAAAAAATTGATCAAAGAATCTGTATCAAATTTTGTGTGAAAAACAAAATTAAGTGCGAGGACGTATTCCGAATGTTGAATATGGCATATGGTGAAGCTACCTTGGACCGAAGCAATGTTTATCGGTGGTGCAAAATGTTCTCCGAGAATATGTGAACGACGAAGAGCGTGCCGGACGTCAGAACACGTCACTAACAGACGAAAACATTGACGAAGTGAAGAAAATTGCTAAGGACCTAAACATATCGATTGGCTTCTGCTATTCGATTTATACTAATGATTTTGGCATGAGACGAGTCACCGCGAAGTTAGTACCAAAATTGCTCAATTTCGACTAAAACCAACATCGCATTAACATTGCTAAGGAGCTGTTGGACTCTGTCCTCGACGACCGAAATTTGCTCCAGAGGATCAGAACCTGTGACAAATCATGAGTTTATGGAAACCAAAGCTCAATTATCCCAATGGAAGCTGCCGCACGAGCTATGACCGAAAAAAGCACTCCAAGTTAGGTCGAATGTAAAGGTTTTGCTTACAGTTTTCTTCGATTGCATAGGCGTGGTGGATGTGCATCATGAGTTTTGGCCATAGGGCAACAGGGTCAATCAGAAATATTACCTGCAAGTTATGTGCAATTTGCGTGAAGCAATCCGCTAGAAACGCCCGGATTTGTGGAACAAGAAATATTGGCTTTTTACACCATGATAACGCCCTTGTTCATACATTGCTGCTTGTGCGCGAATTTTTGTCCAAAAACAACACATTAATAATGCTGCAGTCACCGTATTCCCCAGATTTGGCCCCCCTGTGACATTTTCTTGTTCACGAAACTGAAGAGGCCCATGAAAGGACGACGCTACGCTACGATTGAGGAGATACAGACGGCATGGAACCCGGGCTCCTGGTTTTAAGCACCAGTACTCTTTTCCTCTCTTTTTCCTTATTAATCGATCTGTAGTGATCAAATTAATTTACTAATACATTGAATTAACGCTATAAGAATTCATAATAACTCATACTCTATTAGCTATCTGTGAATTCTTAGGGGACTTTTTGTCGTTCATCAGCATTCATTTGTGTTTAAGCTTTAAACGAGACTCTAAATTTTCTCATTAAGGAAAATGGAATATTCACATGTAATAAAATTGTCTTGATAATGGAATTATTAATGATAAGACCCGTTTCGCGATACGTAATTGAGTATTTCGATCAACATTAATGTAAGTACCGTTGCGTGTCTAGTTCCACTTATACGTATCGAACTGCCTTCAGTCTTGTTGCGTATCATCTTTTAATCTCGGATTAAAAAACATAATGTAGATACATACGTAAGCTGTTGGTCATCAGCGGAAGACCACCAACGTACCGGACAGAATTGCCACGAAAGATTGGTAGGCGTGGAAACGAGTACGGAAATTTTACGTCCTGCAGTGAACGTGAATGGCAGCTTGATGATAATATAATGACCCTAAAACTCGAAATTTTAACCAAAATATGTATAAATATTATTCCCTTTTCAATCACATGAATTCTATGTGTTGATTTGACGGAAACAGTTGTGCACCGCCAATTATTTAAGTACCAGGAATTCCTAAGACTTTATGACTTTCTACCTCTTTAGTTAAATAACTTCCCAGAAAGAGAATTGTAGTTAAGAAATACTTCCAAAGAACAATTGGTTGTTGTATGAGAGTTATGATAAAGATACCGTTCATAAAATTTCCATAAGGCTGAAAAGATATTACCATTACTCTACGATTATTTTGTGTTTTTTTCAAAATTTATTAAATAAATATTTTATTTGTGTTGTCAAAATAGCAGTTTTATTGCTTGTTTATTAGAAGACGACAATTACAAAAACAAAAGACTATACCACTAGAGTTTACTTTGGTACCTGTAGTGCCTATGTTTACTATTAATAATATAAACGAATTAGTAAACTAATAGTATAAGCATTAAAATGGGATTCATAATTAATCGAATCTAAATCTTCATTTCAAAGCCCTCTTGAAAAAGTCAAAAGACACCCCACAACCCACACCAATTCAAATATCCTTAACAATCTTACTTGAGAAACTACCCAATATGAGGGAGAATTTTCTCCTAAACTACTTTTTTTGGACTAATTACATTCTAGTAATTAGACCTTAACTTTGAGAATTAATTTATGCCATTAACAGCTTAAAACAAAAAACAGAGATCAACATATTTCTTCATTGTCATTAGCTCGCATTGTCCCGGTTCCTTGAACATACATACATACATACCCCTTTGTTAATACTTAAAAATTTAGAAAATTTATTTTTTTTTTGTATTTCTTCAATTCAAGAGCCATTGCGGACTCACTCGCTACTATTTTAATTCCTCAAAATTCCTTAAAATGTCACTTACTGAGACAACAAAATGTCATTAATCCATACATAATTAACGATAAAGTTGAGATCTACAATGTACTTGTAAGGCATTAAATATTTATTTCATTCAAACCGGATTGCATAATGCTACAATTTCTTTTAATATATAAATATTATACGCATTTAGGTAGTACTTTATTATTTTTTTCTTGTAGGTACATCGAAGTAAGATGTACATCAAAGCCGATGCGTGGCAATGAAACGCGAACAAGTTCGAAATTGGAGGGGTCCCATGATGAAGAGAAACACAGACGCCTGTTTCAGATGGCCATGAGAATAAAAGAATTACCGGTCGGAAATCCGGACATTCACAACTTAAACGTTGCATACAATGACATAACTAGCGTTCACGATTACGAGCTGTACAATAAAAGTTACACGGGCTTGCGGAAGTTGTACGTGCACCAGAACAGCATAAAGCATGTGGGTCATCACGCCTTCCGAGGCATAAAGCACTTGAAACACATCGACCTTTCGTACAACCAGATCAAGAAGATAAACTCTTACACGTTCGTTAGCAACAACAAGCTCTCGAGACTAATAATGAGCAATAATTTGATCAGGTTCGAAAAGTACGAAACGTTCCTCTTGTCGCACTCGATCGAGTACCTGGTACTGGCCTACAACGATATCGACCAGATCTTCGACTTGACTTTCCTTGGCGTACCGAACCTGAAGAGCTTGATCCTCAACAATAACGAGCTTCACAGCATCGCTCCAAACAGCTTCAAGTCTCTCAACAAGTTGCAGTATTTGTCCATAGTAAATACAGGTGTTTATCGACTGAGCGAGTCTATGTTTTCTCTGATACCGAGGACGCTTAACTTGGAGGGCACGCCCTTGGCCATACGATTTGAACCGCCGCTGAAAAAGGTTAGCGGCGAAGCCGTTGTCAGGCTCATCGGGCTTTCGAAGATACTGGTAATTGTTTTTTATCTTTCACACATTTTACAAAAATTGTCGAACAAAAACCTTTTAATGTAATTTTTCACCCTGAAGTATCTCTATAACGTATTAGACAATGTTTGATTGAGTTTGGCTAGTTTCCTTTATAACCAAGATGCTGGGTGTAACAAAGTTTCTATTGTTTCTAATGAAACAATATATACTGCATTTGAACACTAAAGATGGATAATTAGAGAAATTTTTGTGAATTGGAGAAGTTGTTAATTACTACAGTTAATGGTTATAACATATTTTTTTGATTAAATATCGGAAGACAGCTTTAAGCGTAATCCGATCCTTTAATAATTACGTAATTCCAGAACATTGTTTGGTATTACGAGAGGAGATAGCCACAACAATTATGATTGCGGGGTATCTTTTCCGTTTCCATTCGTTGATATATATTTTAAACCGCTTAATAAATTCCAATGAAATTTTTTTAAAATCCTCATCTTTAAAACGTTAAATCCATCGCCTTTATGGCATTTCACGCAACATTTACCGTTATTCTACAATCTTTAATCAAACGGTTACAATATTTCCTTAATAACCCCTAATTGTGAAAGATAATTAATTATTGTTCTGTTATGGTTAAACCGTCTAACGAATGCCTTAATATTTACCTTGGTAAGTCATAACTTTCAACTAAAATGAAAAAAAAATGTCATTTTAAACGTACGTGCATATAAACAGTTCATTCTCTAGGGAATTATTTAAATAAGTATCTAACATTTACTTTTTGTAGTCAAAAGAAAAAATCTGAATTTTTTGTAAAAATAAAAATGAATAGCTAATATTTGATGCCTCTTCAATGAGATATATGTATGTTTCACCCAATTTAATTCAATTATCGGTTATTAATTACCAATTTATGAAAACGAAAGTGGCACAACTTTAACTTTAATACCAGCAACAATTTACGAAACTATTCGAAGTTATAAATCATTGACACTTTCGCATAATTAATCCTACAAGTAGTTGCCGGTGGGACCCGCAGCATTCGTTTCATTATAATTAATTTAGTATGATTAAAATTTACATTCGAATCACTGTTAAAACGATACATCCTCTGAAATAAAAGACGTGAATATTAAATTAACCATCGCGATGCATACATATATTAAGTATATGTTCTTACTTCCTCTATACGAATTTCAATTTACGAAACTATTCGAAGTTATAAATCATTGACACTTTCGCATAATTAATCCTACAAGTAGTTGCCGGTGGGACCCGCAGCA